CAGTAGCGGGATGTATAGTTTCCCTTTGCAGTGATCTCCAGTAGCGGGATGTATGATTTCCCTTTGCAGTGATCTCCAGTAGCGGGATGTATGGTTTCCCTTTGCAGTGATCTCCAGTAGCGGGATGCATCGTTTCCCTTTGCAGTGATCTCCAGTAGCGGGATGTATCGTTTCCCTTTGCAGTGATCTCCAGTAGCGGGATGTATCGTTTCCCTTTGCAGTGATCTCCAGTAGCGGGATGTATGGTTTCCCTTTGCAGTGATCTCCAGTAGCGGGATGTATCGTTTCCCTTTGCAGTGATCTCCAGTAGCGGGATGTATCGTTTCCCTTTGCAGTGATCTCCAGTAGCGGGATGTATCATTTCCCTTTGCAGTGATCTCCAGTAGCGGGATGTATGGAATAATTCGCTTATCATTGACTATGTGCAGCCCCCCCCCCCCCCCCCCCCCGGCGGGAGTCTGTTTTGACCGGCTGCAAATCTTCAGTACAGCTGATTGGATTGCTCGTAGTTGGGTGTATTGTCAATCATCTGTAAATAGATCTGATTGGTTGGTAAAGCTTACTGCAATTTGCATGTCTTTATTTTAAAGGCAAGTTTGTGTTTGCGGAAGTTAAATTGTAAAACTGCATCTCCGCAATATAAAACCAGTGAAGCTGCGGCAGCTATCTGGATCCCGTCTTCAGTCCCTGTCCAAACGACTTCAATCATAACCAATCCCCTCCACTCCTGATCTGTACTGTTGCCTGCCTCTCCTAGCTATTGACTTTCACTGCTGTCAATCCTTTTAGTTCCTGAGAATTATATGAAAGAACACATCCCCGGCACCCCTTTAGACGTGCATGCTCTAACAGCTGATCAGCAGATTGCAAAGCGCCTAGTGGTCAGCTGGGAGGATCATGCACATCTAAAGGGATGCCAGAGATGTGTGCAGGAAGTAAAAAAGGAATTCTATGCCTACATTACACTTCAGCTTTAAAAGTTTATACAGGCGTACCTCGGTTTACGAACGCATCGGTTAACGCAATTTTCGGAGTGCAAACAATTATGTTTTACTTTTATTTTTGGTTTTAAAATGTTTTTATTTATTTATTTATTTTTTTTATTGGTTGGCTAGCTAGTTAATTGACTTTGCATTTTCATTCAGGGCCAGTTCACGCCACAAAAACGCACTCCAGATACGTTTGTGCTTAGGGCCAGTTCACACCACATGCAGACCAGTGCGTTTATTTTTTTCTGTATCAAAAATGCATTGATAGTGGGTAACATGGTTTCTAATGGCATAGTTCACACCAGTGCTGTACGCAGCACTGTGTATGTGTGTGTATGTGTGTGTGTGTGTATGTGTATGTGTGTGTGTGTATATATATATATCCTACAATGTTCATTGCAACTTTACAGTGCAACTTTTGCTTTGACCCAAGATGACTGCCCAAAGTCACACACAAGTCTCTGCTAATCCCTCCACTGGCCTCCACTCAGTGTCCTCCATCCCTCTCTGCTAATCCCTCCACTGGCCTCCACTCAGTGTCCTCCACCCCTCTCTGCCAATCCCTCCAATCAGTGTCTGCCACCCCTCTCTGCCAATCCCTCCACTGGCCTCCACTCAGTGTCCTCCATCCCTCTTTGCCAATCCCTCCACTGGCCTCCACTCAGTGTCCTCCATCCCTCCACTGGCCTCCACTCAGTGTCCTCCACCCCTCTCTGCCAATCCCTCCACTGGCCTCCACTCAGTGTCCTCCACCCCTCTCTGCCAATCCCTCCACTGGCCTCCACTCAGTGTCCTCCATCCCTCTTTGCCAATCCCTCCACTGGCCTCCACTCAGTGTCCTCCACCCCTCTCTGCCAATCCCTGCGGATTGAGCATAATGCTTTATTATGCTCAATCCGCAGATCCGATCCATTCTGCGGGGATCTTCGGAGGGGGTGTCACCAAGTGTTACCGCACCGGGTGACACCAACCCTAGGGACGCCTCTGGTATTACTGAACTGGAACCGTAAAAAAAAAAGGTCTTCTGCCCTCCCATACGGGGGCTGTATTGTGTGGCAGAACTGTATAAATCTCAGGACTGGATGGACAGGTAAAGCGGCTCCCCTGTGTGTATTTAGCTGTTTGACTGCCGATCAGCTTTGATGTAAAGTAAATAAGAAATCCAGCAGGGAGGTTGGTAGAGCCGGTAATCCTGCGCAGGGAGCTCCTCGCCGCACTCAGAGGTAAGAAAATCAATATGTATTCTAAAGTAAATTGAGCGATTCGAACGATTCCATCCGAGTCTATCATCATAAACGGCAATAGCCCAGATTACTTCCACCAATTACTCCGGGTCACGGCAGTCGCTAGATGTGGAGATATAAGGCGACTCAATATATATTCACATCTAGACTTTTTCCGAAAAGTCAGCTTTGACCACGCCTACTGTGTTCCTGATTCCCACGCCTGCCTATTTCTTTTATTGATGGCGGTCTTGCCAAGCAATGGGTGGTCTTTGGAGGTGGGGGAGGGGTAGAACTATGCTGATCACCTTAGCTAGCTGGATTTCCAGATCGATTTATTTATTTCAGGTACTTATATAGCGCTGTCAACTTACGCCGCGCTTTACATATATATTGTACATTCACATCAGTCCCCGCCCCCGAGGAGTGTACAATCTGAGGTCCCTAGGCCCCTTTCATACGGGCGTTTTTTCATCAGTTCAGTCATGTTTTTTTCATCCTTTTTTCATTCGTTTACATCCATTTTGCGTCCATTCCAAATGCGTTTACATTGGTTTACAGTCACCAGACATCCCTCTCTGCCAATCCCTCCACTGGTCTCCACTCAGTGTCCTCCATCCCTCTCTGCCAATCCCTCCACTGGACTCCACTCAGTGTCTTCCATCCCTCTCTGCCAATCCCTCCACTCAGTGTCCTCCATCCCTCTCTGCCAATCCCTCCACTGGTCTCCACTCAGTGTCCTCCATCCCTCTCTGCCAATCCCTCCACTGGACTCCACTCAGTGTCTTCCATCCCTCTCTGCCAATCCCTCCACTCAGTGTCCTCCATCCCTCTCTGCCAATCCCTCCACTGTCCTCCACTCAGTGTCCTCCACCCCTCTCTGCCAATCCCTCCACTGTCCTCCACTCAGTGTCCTCCACCCCTCTCTGCCAATCCCTCCACTGACCTCCACTCAGTGTCCTCCATCCCTCTCTGCCCATCCCTCCACTGACCTCCACTCAGTGTCCATCACCCCCTCTCTGCCCATCCCTCCACTGACCTCCACTCAGTGTCCATCACCCCTCTCTGCCAATCCCTCCACTGGCTTCCCGTTGCCCAACAGATAAAATTCAAACCATTAACAATAACTTATAAAGCCATTTATAACTCCGCCCCAAATTACATCATCGATCTTGTCTCCAAATATCACCCAAACCGTCCTCTCTCGCTCCTCACAAGACCTCCTACTTTCTCGCTCCCTTGTCTCCTCCTCCCATGCTCGTCTCCAGGACTTCTCCAGAGCTTCCCCATCCTCTGGAACTCTCTTCCATAATTTATCAGACTATCGCCTATTCTGCTCACTTTTAGGCGATCTCTGAAAACCTCTCTCTTCAGGGAAGCCTATCCTGCCCTCAGCTAATAATGGAATCTTCTATTCCTCCTACCAGTCCATCCCCCCTTTTGTACCACTAGCCCCTCCCTCTTAGATTGTAAGCTCCAAGGATCAGGCCCTCCTATCCCTCTTGTATTGTTGCTGTATTGTCTCCCAGCATAATGTAAAGCGCTGAGCAAACTGTTGGTGCCATAAATCCTGTATAATAATAATAATGAGCTCTTGGTCATGGCTTCTGATTGGGAGATGGCGGGATGGGATCTCAATCACGTGACTGCTGTGAGAGCCAATCACAGTCACCCCGATTTAGGAAGCTGCTCCAGATCTCAACATTACAGGCCGCCAGCAGCCATCAGGAGGGGGTTAAAAAAAAATAAATAAAAAAAATTAGTGATGTGTTATTACAGAGCTGTCTTTGTGGCATTTATACTCGCTTTACGTCTTTATCAAAAAACTGGCATAACAGGATTGGGTAGGCGGGCTGATGAAAGGTGCGGTCTGCTTGGAATGGGTTCCTTCATGCAGCATACCATCCTGGCTGTCTGCACCACTTCCCTATAGAAGGCTGTTCAGCAATGACTGCTTCTGTTTAACCCCGTCCTTCTCCATGTGCTCCTGGTGTCCCCTCGGTGCCGGCTGTGATGCTCGCAGTGAGCGGTGTCACTGGGCAAGGGCTGGGTATGGCCAGGTCCCGCTCTGGTGCCTCGGTGGCAGACAAATCCATGCATGCCCATGTGGGAGCGGCAGGGGGTTAGGCTGGGACACGGGCCTATCCTATACACACTCCCTCTTTCTGGGGCTGCGAATCCCAACCGCAGATTTGGTGTCATAAAGAGCAGCTGCAGGCGGCACGGCGGAAATCTGTATTAAAAAATATTCCTCGATCGCCACAATGGCTTTGATGCCCGGGGTCCGTCCATTCAGCAATGGTGGTTTACTTACAGGTATGGCTTGGTGAGCTGAGTCGGCTCCGGCCTACTCCACCAGTCAGATCTTCCGGCCATGATTGCCATCCAGTCCGGAGGTTTGGGTCTTTCCATACGCGTGCGTGTGTGTGTGTGCGCGCGTGTGTGTGTGGTGCGTGTGTGTGTGCGCGTGTGTGTGTGTTCCAGCTCCTCGTTTTACATTCTCCCTAATAAAAGAAATAGCAGGGATGGTGTGAGCCACTCATAATTGGCATAGCTGGTGTAAAGATGTGGGACCTCAACTCAGGAATGGTGGGAACCTCTCATAATGGGCACAGCAGGTGCTAAGACCCAGGAATCCAGCGCGGAGATGGTGGGAACCCCTCATAATGGGCACAACAGGTGTATAGACCCGGGAACCCAACGCAGAGATGGTGGTAACCCCTCATAATGGGCACAACAGGTGTATAGACCCGGGAACCCAACGCGGAGATGGTGGGAACCCCTCATAATGGGCACAACAGGTGTATAGACCCGGGAATCCAGCGCGGAGATGGTGGGAACCCCTCATAATGGGCACAACAGGTGTATAGACCTGGGAATCCAGCGCGGAGATGGTGGAAAACCCCTCATAATGGGCACAACAGGTGTATAGACCCGGGAACCCAACGCAGAGATGGTGGGAACCCCTCATGATGGGCACAACAGGTGTATAGACCTGGGAACCCCTCATAATGGGCACAGCGGGTGTACAGACCAGGGAACCCAGCGCAGAGATGGTGGGAACCCCTCATAATGGGCACAGCAGGTGTACAGACCTAGGAACTCAGCAGAGGGATGGTGGGAATCCCTCATAATGGGCACAGCGGGTATACAGACCCGGGAACTCAGCACAGGGATGGTGGGAACAGGTGTGCAGACCTGAAAACGAAACACACGGGTATGGTGGGATCCACTCAGTGTGGACACAGCATGTATGGAGAGCCGATAACTCAGTTCAAGAATGGTGGGAGCCCCCCATAATGGGCATGGTAGGTGTGCAGAGCCGGGGAACTAACCTCAGGGATGGTGGGAACCCCTCATGGGCACAGCAGGTGTGCAGACCCAGGATGCAGTATAGAGATGGACACCTCAGATGTTCAGACATAGAAACTCAACACAGGCACAGCAGGGGTGTAGAGTCAAGAACTTGGTACTGGTGGGACATCCTCATCCTGGTTTGCAGATCTGGGAATTCAGCAGAGAGATCCCCGATACAGTCCACCTATTGGGATTGTTCGGACCTTTTACATGATTTGCTCAGAACCTGCCTCTAGAGTCCAGGAAAGGCAGGAACGCCCTGCTGGGCCTCCTGGTTCTGCAGCATGTGGAGGACCTTCGGTTGCGTGCCTTGTGCCGGTCAGCAGAGATTGCCGGTTGGTGAAGCAGGAGCTGCTGTTGCACGCCATGGTATAGAAGTCGACTAATTAAGTGGCTTTGGATGTTTGCTCTGACGTCTGTCATCTCCCACTTTCTGGACTGCAGGAACTGCGTAATTGTTTGGGAATCTTCACCGTGTGAGGTTAACCCCTTTCTTCTCGGAGTCGGCGCTCTTGTTTTTCAGCTTTGGCCGCCATTCTTGTTCCTGGGCTCCTGTAGGATGTGTCTGACTTCTCACAGATGACAAATCGGGCTCTGGGCCGGTTCCAGGCTCCGTATCTTAGGAACATGTTAGCTGCCTTTCTCAAGAGGCTCAGTAGCTTCATTGTGGCACACGCCGGCCGGGGAGGGGCTTCTGGTGCCACCCTGTGATGTCCTAGGAAGGAGATCTGGGTCACCAATATTTGGCATGCTGCTGGAGAGGCGGTGACCTCCTCTGGTCATGTGATTTGGAGTATTTCATTGTGGAGGATATTTGATGAATCCGAGTCAGGTGCTTACAACCAGTAAAGAGCATATGCAGTTTTGCAGCAGGTGCTGTTGAGCAGAGGGGTAGCAGTGATGGAGCAGACTTGTTTTTTTTCCCCATGAAAGTTTTAGTGCAGTTTCAAAAAGTGACGCTAAGACCCGCCTTCTGCGCTAAGTGCCCTTCCATGACTGCTGTAAAAACGTTAAAGCTGAACTCCTGGGGAATAAAAAAATCCACTTTGTGTGCACCAAATGTTTTTGCAAACTCGGGTATTATTTTGTAAAAGTGGTAGTAACACCATCACTATGCTGTCGTGGGAGGAGCAGGAGGTACATAGCCAGAGCAGAGCTGTGGGAGTGACCCAGCAGGCTCCACCCACTACAAGCTGCCTGCAGAAAACTACAGGAGGGGGCGGAGAAAAGTCCAGTCACCTTGCATAAGTGGGGAGAGAGAGCAGAGCTGTAGGAGGGGCCTAGCAGGCTCCACCCACTACAGACTTTCTGCAGAAAACTACAGGAGCGGGTGGAGAAAAGACCAGTCATCCTGCACAAGTGGGGGGGAGAGAGCAGAGCTGTGGGAGGGTATAACAGGCTCCTCCCATTAGACTTTCTACAGAAAACTACAGGAGGGGGCGGAGAAAAGACCAGTCATACTGCACAAGTGGGGGGAGAGAGCAGAGCTGTGGGAGGGGTATAACAGGCTCCTCCTATTAGACTTTCTACAGAAAACTACAGGAGGGAGCGGAGAAAAGACCAGTCATCCTGCACAAGTGAGGGGGAGAGAGCAGAGCTGTGGGAGGGGTATGACAGGCTCCTCCCATTAGACTTTCTACAGAAATCTACAGGAGGGGGCGGAGAAAAGACCAGTCACCTTGCACAAGGGGAGATTGAGAGAGCAGAGCTGTGGGAGGAGCCTAGCAGGTTCTACCCACTGCAGGCTGCCTGCAGAAATCGAGGGGGGTGGAGAAAAGACCAGTCACCCCGCACAAGGAGAGCGAGTGGCAGTGAGCGGTCTTTGACAGGAAGTCTCACACTGGATTACTGCACAGATCTGGAAGAAATGCACAGAACCCATCAAGATTAAAAGTAACCAAACTGATCTTTGTTTGGTTAGTTGCTTTAAAGGGCACGGGAGACATCAGGGGTCTACTGGACCCCTGATGTCTCTATACAGAATACCTATTACCTGCTCAAAGCCCCCTTGTGATAGCAGTGAAGGTAAAGTGAAACTTCCCTCTCTCAATCAACATTGACTATTTTGAATTCTTATGATTCCTGAGCTCTTTAACCGCTTCCCGTCCGGCCCATGTATATAAACGGCCTCCCCGCTCCCTGCTTGTGCGCGCTCCCTGAGAGCACACAGCGCCGCGATCCAGTCCTGCTGTATCCTCCGTACACAGTGGAACACCGATCGCTGCACGGGACCTCTGTCTGAGGTCCCGATCATGTGATCACTGATTGGCGAATCAGTAATCACACGAAGAGTAGTAAGCAAGATGTCACTTATGACGACATTACTTACTACGTATGAAATCTGTGCATGATCACAGAGATAACATGGTACAGGGCTATTCACAACAGCCTTGTACCATGTGACAAGCTGTGACCAATCACAGCTCTCACAGTATTTCTCAATAGCTGCAAGAATGCAGCCAGAGAGAAGGAGAAATGATTGCTTTTACAGCCTTTTATGGGTGTAAAAGCAATCGGTGTAAACAAAAAAAAAAAAAATCATCACCCCCCCACAAGTAGTAGTGTCACTATGCTGACACTGCACTGCTAGGGTGACAGTATGTAAAAAAAAAAAAAAATTTTTGAAACATAATTTTTGGTTATAAACCAGTTTGGGTTTTTTTACTAAATAAATACATTTTTGGCCAAGAGTTATGAAGAAAGATTTATTATTTAATTTTGATTGTAAGCTCCCAGGATCAGGGCCCTCCTATCCCTCCTTGTATTGAACTGTATTGTCTCCCGTTATATTGTAAAGCTCTGAGCAAACTGTTTGTGCCATAAATCCTGTATAATAATAATAATAATATTTGCAAAATTTTATAAGAAAAACTTTTTTTTCAAAATTTTTGGACTTTTTTACTTGTATAGCAAAAAAAAAATCCCAAAGGTGAATAAATACCACCAAAATAAAGTTTTTTTTTTTTAATCTGTCTCAAAAAAATGCTAAAAAATTCATATGGGTACAGTGTTGCATGACCGCACAATTGTCATTCAAAGTGTGACAGCACTGAAAGCTGAAAATTGGCCTGGACAGGAAGGGGGGGAAAGTGTCCGGACTGGAAGGGGGGGGGGAAAGTGTCCGGACTGGAAGGGGGGAAAGTGTCCGGACTGGAAGGGGGGGGGAAAGTGTCCGGACTGGAAGGGGGGGAAAGCGTACCGGACTGGAAGGGGGGGGAAAGGTCGGATCTGGAATGGGGAAAAGCGTCCGGACTGGAAGGGGGGGGGAAGCGTCCGGACTGGAAGGGGGGGGGAAAGCGTCCGGACTGGAAGGGGGGGGAAAGCGTCCGGACTGGAAGGGGGGGGGGAAAGCGTCCGGACTGGAAGGGGGGGGGAAAGCGTCCGGACTGGAAGGGGGGGGGGAAAGCGGCCGGACTGGAAGGGGGGGGGAAAGCGTCCCGGACTGGAAGGGGGGGGGGGGAAAGCGTCCGGACTGGAAGGGGGGGGGGAAAGCGTCCGGACTGGAAGGGGGGGGAAAAGCGTCCGGACTGGAAGGGGGGGGGAAGCGTCCGGACTGGAAGGGGGGGGAAAGCGTCCGGACTGGAAGGGGGGGAAAGCGTCCGGACTGGGAAGGGGGGGGGAAAGCGTCCGGACTGGAAGGGGGGGGAAAGCGTCCGGACTGGAAGGGGGGGGGAAAGCGTCCGGGACTGGAAGGGGGGGGGAAAGCGTCCGGACTGGAAGGGGGGGGGGGGGAAAGCGTCCGGACTGGAAGGGGGGGGGGGGAAAGCGTCCGGACTGGAAGGGGGGGGGGGGGGAAAGCGTCCGGTACTGGAAGGGGGGGGGGGGGGAAGCGTCCGGACTGGAAGGGGGGGGGGGAAAGCGTCCGGACTGGAAGGGGGGGGGAAAAGCGTCCGGACTGGAAGGGGGGGGGAAAGCGTCCGGACTGGAAGGGGGGGGGAAAGCGTCCGGACTGGAAGGGGGGGGGGAAAGCGTCCGGACATGGAAGGGGGGGGGGGAAAGCGTCCGGACTGGGAAGGGGGGGGAAAAGGGAAGAAAGCGTCCGGACTGGAAGGGGGGGGGGAAAGCGTCCGGACTGGAAGGGGGGGGGAAAGCGTCCGGACTGGAAGGGGGGGGGGAAAGCGTCCGGACTGGAAGGGGGGGGGGGAAAGCGTCCGGACTGGAAGGGGGGGGGGGGAAAGCGTCCGGACTGGAAGGGGGGGGGGGGGAAAGCGTCCGGACTGGAAGGGGGGGGGAAAGCGTCCGGACTGGAAGGGGGGGGGGGGAAAGCGTCCGGACTGGAAGGGGGGGGAAAGCGTCCGGACTGGAAGGGGGGGGGGGAAAGCGTCCGGACTGGAATGGGGGGAAAGCGTCCGGACTGGAAGGGGTTAAGTTTAGGGTGAAGGTCCATGTTGATGCTGACCGGAGTTTCAGTGTACTGACAAATTATTATTTTTGGTATGAAATACATTCTCCATTGTTACTGTTGAGGGACGTTCTATGGCCCCTCCCTCTTAGATTGTAAGCTCCCAGGATCAGGGCCCTCCTATCCCTCTTGTATTGAACTGTATTGTTGCCGTATTGTCTCCCGTTATATTGTAAAGTGCTGAGCAAACTGTAGGCGCCATAAATCCTGTATAATAATCGTAATTTTTTCTGAATCCCAGAACATTGATAGCGCCACGGGAAAAAAAGTAATGTATATCAATAAAGTGAAAAAAACCCCCAAAAAACAAAGCTGAAGAACCTAACCTAAAATATGTATAATTGTATTGTTATTGTACTGTCGCATGTTCTGTCTCCCATTATATT